AATCTATAGAGTTTTAAAGGACTTAAACAGGTGTTCAAGATAAACGAGTCTTGCGCACCTGGGCAGTGGAGGCACGCATACCATTCGAATTAGTCCGAGGTTTGCATAGGCGAGCTTCAAAACGCGATATCCCTGAAGATATTTTTTTCTATGTTTGCTGCATGGTGCCTAAATAGGGGCTGGTTTACCTACTAAAACTGACTGGCTGTGAGACTAAGATGCGGTACTTGCGTCTTGGTACATTTCAAAAACTCCACTGGATGATTGTTGTTATCCGACCGAATCACCCAATCGATATTTTTTCTAGATCACCAAACTTATCAGAACCAAGACGTCACACGAAATATTAATGCACAATCCCTCAACTGGTCTAACTTCGCTGTTTAGAAACGTTTGTTTTAAAAACACAATTTTCAGTGAATAGCACGCACACATGTCTTTCACGCGTTTAAAGGCGGATTTTACACTCCAGTGTTCAAGTGAGTCACTGTTTATCCTCAGAAAACCCGGGCTGTGTTTCCTTTCTCTAAAATTTCGGTCTAAGTTCCCGCAGGCGCAATCCGCTGATGAGGACCCTAGCATTCTCGTTGCTACAAATACGAGTTCAGCTTGGATGTCCCAAGCCGTTTTGTTGTCCTCCCCGGCCAGGTTATTGCCTGCTGTCAAAATTTACTGTTTAAACTGACAGCAGGGTTGATGCTAGATTTGTTTCTGTCCCCATGAACCGCAGCCATCGCACCCCTCATGTTTTTTTGCCTTACGCATCGCTAGTGCGAAGTCAAGTGACAGAAGCCACATATCTGGTTGGTCCAGCCAGTATTTGGCTTTCACGGCGCTGTCAGGTTGGGTAGGGTCGAGGTCTCATTAGAGGTTACTCTCTGTTTTCGGAGTGGACGTGTGTAGGCATAAACATGAACACGTCAAAACGGTTTGGTGTGAAAAAAAAAGGAAACGTTTTGGGGGGACAAGGCTGGGAGAGGTGGGGAGGGAAGAAGGAGGGTAGCGGAAAGGGGGTAGGAGGGAGCTGACATATGCTCAACGGTCACAGCGTTCACAGTCCTACTCGACACGAACCCCACGCGACTGTTCTATGGCCCATTACTTTTTCTGCTCCTTTTTGCGCTCGAAGAAGTCCGTTCGTTTTCCAAAAAGTCGAAGCCTCTAGGCTTTCTGTAGACAGTCGTATCCTCCCAGCCTGGCTGATCGTGCGAACGAGTCCAGAAACGGCTCCAGCTGGGCTCCCATGCTCTCCTTGAAGTCCTTTCCTTTCCCTCACCAGCAATCTCTTTGCGAGCAAACCCCCGTCTTGTGTTGCCATGCTAAACACCCGAAAGCCGTTGCATCCACCCTTCTCCCACTCCTTTTCTCGCTTTTTCGAGACGGAATAATTGTAACGAGTAATTTCAGTAATTTGCTACTGAAACACGTAATAAGATTTCATTACAAATTACATTTAAAAAAAAGTAACGGATCAATTACTAAACGACAAGGAAAGTAAATAACTACAAGTACTCCCGTTACCTGCAACGGCTCGGCACGCGGGGCCTCTTATGCACACACGTGGGCTTCTCGAATAATCGGCGTAGAGGGTTCGGCGCATAGAACATTCGGACCTTGAATAAGCAACAGGGTCCTCGAATTCATCAGAACGCGACATTTCCAGAAATAACAAAATGTGTGCGTCCGCTCCCAGCCATCGAACCTCGTCCCTTTGCGTGGGAGCCAAGTAGCATAACCATTCGGCCACGGGCGCGCTTCCTCGGAGACGCGCATGGCAATACTGCAGTTTTCCGTCTAATTGGACTATTAGCTAAGTCTTATGCTGCCGATTAAAGAGAAAGGCTGCATTCCTGTTCTAGCTACAATATCTAGATTCAGCGACTTGCCACTCCCTTCCCTCTCTACAGCACTAAACGTAAAACTGTATGTCCGGCTACAGCTGGCTATTGGAAGCGCCAGCAAGGCCACGAAGCTATGTTAAGAAGGCTGGGGAGACAGCGAATAAACAGCCGCGCCGCCCGTTATCAGGCCCTTAATGTGACGTCATGAAGGAGATTACGCAGGCAGGGCCCATATCTAAGGAGCGTTGGTTCCATAGGAAAGAGGACGCTTCTTAGACTGCAGTTTACATATCCAGCGAGCTCTCAGTTTGCTTAACATTCCCGATTCCAAAGTTCGTAACATCTTGAACATTTGTTTGCTGGTGGTATTATTTTATCATTTTTCATTTCCTGTTTTGCAAGCTCTTACTGTGTAGGATTTATACGCTTTTGTATCGCACCTTTGTCTGCAACAGTTTGGTATACGATATTAAAAAAAAAATATATAAGCAGAAGGCATATATGAGGTTTCCTATTCAAGGGATTTCGAATTGAAATTTGAAATATGCCTTTCATGTTCAGAAATAAGTTACACATGATAAAAAAAAAATATCTGCGTATTACAATCTCCCGCTTGTATTTTGAACGGGCTATATTTTTGGTCGAAACAGCGGATTATGGAAAGCGCTCCCAGGGCAGCAAACGGAGAGCGCGACGTATCTCGGGAGGTCCGGCGCATTCGTGACGTCACTTGTTCCGCCACGGCGAAGGCTACAGCGAGGCTGGTGTGGTTTTGAGCTGCGCCAGCGTTCGAGATGCCCGAGGACTGGTTGTGGCAACAGGAGCGTGTAGACACGGGAAGAGGCGAAGTGAGTCGCGTGAGCCTCAACATTGCACTGACATACTCGTCCTCTCGCTCTCACTCCCTCTCTCCGTTTGTGAGAAGGGAAGTTCGGTTCGGCCATGTTTGACAAGCTGCGTGCTCTTGGGGATTGACAATGTACTTCCGCGGAGTGGCGCCGGTTTTTGGGAACGATCGACGAAACGGCCTTCCAACTCGATTTGGGAACATGCACCAGGTGCGATATTTTTACGTAATCCTTCTAAATTCTTCAACCTAAGTGTAGGTGTATTTTAGAACATTAAAGTAGGTGTATCTGTCGTGTTGCCACAACATAATTGAAATACTCGCTCAGTACCCTTTTAAAGGGACTAACTTAAAAAAAAAAAATTTCTATTATTTTTGTTTAAAAATTGCCAACTGTTTTATAATCGCATTATTAAAATTTATCTCGCGAAGGCTCTGTCACGTTGAGCAAACACGGCGGAGACAGAAACAGAAACATATACATAATAGTTGGTAAACTTTTTTTTGGTCGCCCTGTTGTCCGACAAACCTGTCACGTCGCGGGAACATCAGGACAACACAGGCGAGAGCAAGGCTGGTGCCTCGATGTAACAGCTTTCGGCAACAATACAGCAGTAACTTGTGTCGGACGGCGGGTGTTGCCACGATGGGTGGATGAGCGAATTTAGTGCCGTCAACACAACACAGATAGCATTGATGCACAGTTCTCTATCAATAACGTGTTATAAGAGCTTACTGAAATAAAGGCCTAGAGAACGCTATATAACATTAGTTAAGGCTGACGTGCATCTGAAATATTTTAAATAGTTTTCATTGCCTAATTACAGAAAGCGAGTGTCGAAATCGTCACAGCTATGGTAGTGAACGTTCAGATGGTTGCTCAAATTAAAAGCTCTGAGAGATCAACTGACTTTATTGGTTGTGAAATAATTAGTATGCCCACCTACCCATTGATAAAATTAATAAATATCATCTACGAAACCAAGCGGTACAATAATCACAACATGAAAACGATCGCTCTGGTCATGATTGTTCATGCTTGTAACTAAAAGAACAGCCGCTGATAAACGCCTCAAGTGTTTAAAAAATACACAGATCGTCTGGGGAATGACGCGATCCCGTAAAACGCGGTAAAAGAGAGACGACCATGAAAAGTATTTATTCCACCGATCGTTAGAAAGGCCGATTGTGTCGACGTCGCAGCCTTTAAGCACTGTCAGTTCAGCGCAACACCACGCTAGAAAATACACTTTGGGGTATTGCCGGTGCTCACTCAATTTTACACTAGAAGTAGGAATCGCATGAAAGACAGAACCAAACAGAAACACTTCATACGGTGGCGTAAATCACAAACATAGCAGCGATTTCATCTTTCTCGTTTAGGGCTAGCTACTTTGTCAGCGAATGAAGAGCATGTTGATATAATAAAAAAAAAGTAGAAAATGCTCCCCCTGTCACGTTTTCGGATCAAAGTCAGTGATTGATGTCGTTCCGTGGTAATTTCCGGCTCTTCGAACTCTGTAGCAATTTGTTGAGTCACATTTCCAACGCCATCGCGCCGCACACAAACTAACGTTGACACGAACGACGAGAAACAATCAACTTTGCGGAATGTTCCTTGTGTCGGCCACGCCGTTAGCGTGGTTTGACAGGGTGTTCTTCGAGTGTCGGACAACTAATCCGCGAACACGGCCGCGTGAAAAAAAAAGACAGGTTTCCTTACAGTTGCGATTGCTTCAATGTGAAAGGGTCGCTGAAAATATGTTTCCCTCGTGTTGATGGATTAACTTGTCTAACTGTTCCCTCAATATGACACAGCCTTATATAAATCATGAACTGTTCGAAGAAATATATTATATAACGTTCCTGCGTGAATAATTAATTGGTTTGAAGACGCTTCCATCAATAACGATTCAGTTTGCACTCTTCATGTTGCACTCCCTTGGAACCCCCTTTTCCAAGCTACGTTCCACCGTTCCCTCGAACACATCGCACTTCATGACGTCAATGATTGCAGATGTTCTCCACAACTTTACATTCAACTGGGGTTGACGGTGCAAGCTAGAGGCAAGATAAAACAAACAAAAAAAAAGAAACCGCTCCCCAAGACATTCCCAAGTGGCACGGCGCGCAGGCTTTATCCCTTGATGTTCGAAAACATGTGCCGCAAGCTCCTATTGTGTTCGGTCTAACTTCCGTTTTTTCTTTCTTGTTTTTTTTTTTGTGTAATTTGAGACAGTGCCGTTTGCTGCGCTCAGAAAAAGGCAACGCCACTCGTTTGAACGTAAGCACGGCAGTCTATTTCGCACGCCGCGTATCAGAGTGAACGTACGCTACAGTCAGACGTACCTTGGGGGTATATTTCTTTAGCAACCACCGGAGATGGAGACACTTACCTGGATGTGCCTGGTCTCAGCCGCGTGGACATCATACCGTATGTACACGAACATCTTCCTCATTTCGTAAATAATATATCTAACGACAACTTGCATTCAAATTGCAAAGAAGATCCTTAACAAAAATGCTCTCGTTAATTTGTATACGTATTTAACATCAGGTGTATATTTGGAAAGAAAGACTGAAGGAAAATAAAATTAAATTGCTTTTACTTTATGAATTTATAAATTGCCGTTGCTATCCCGCTTTCTATTTTTTATTTTTAACCATTTCTTGTATGAATTGCCAATGTTTTTGAATATAATAAACAAACCGGTGAAGGTCGGCCCTCCTAATTTTGGTCGAACTAAAGATGAAGAGAATATATTTAAACGTAGCGATTTCAAGAAATGCAAGACCAGAGCCCAAACGCATGGAGTTCCACAGGTAAAACACGCCTGTAAGAAAATAAGAAGACATTCTTAGAAATATTAAAATGTAAACATATTTTTGGATAAAACACAGTTACCTAATAAGTAAAGCTCTTTCAAAGGCTCTATGGCTCTTAAAAAAACGTAGATGGCCGCCGGAATCCATAGAGAATGTTCAGTAAGGATCAGAACAATCCAGTTTCTTTTAACCCCCAAACATCCGTTAATACGGCCGTGAAGGCGAACAATCGGTGAAATTCATCGGTAAGCCTTGAGTACGATAACGTTTAGAGAAACGTGGGTCCTCGTCCGTGCCGATGTCGAAAATAAACTATTAATATACAATAAAGTGTTTAATGCGAGTAATATCCGGCGGATGGTAAGTAGTTCTTTCAAAATGACAGACCACAACTTATCTGAATAAAAATGTACAAAGGATTGAACTGAGATAAGCGTCGCAATAATTAATATTTAAAGCGTAAATTTACGACAGAACACTCTGGTACAGTCAGAGTCAACTGAAGAAACGTAGGGTGTGGCTAATTATGCTTATCGATAGCTACCTCGTGATTGGTTCGCGGAGTCCTAAGCGGCGAATACGCTAATCTCATTGGCCACGGAGTGCTACCGAGATGCTGCCAACCCGCTGCGCCCCCTGCGTTTCTTAGAGGGCACTGAACTCCCTACAGCATTTGTGGAGTGCCTGGACAGGACGCTTTATCGATGACGCAAAATAAACTGAACACCCCCCCTCCCTAGCCCCTCCCTTCCCTGCCAAGATAAAGGAGCTTTCCATTGCTCAAAAAGACTTAGTTTTTTTTTTTTTCTTTTTTCCCCTGCATCCGGAGAATTCAATGAAGTTAAACGTTTTTTTACACATCTAGATTGTTTAGCCAGAAACCTGTTGCTGAAAGAGTATTTCGGGGACCGACCCAAAAGAAATAGAATAATTTTCAATGCATTAGATCAATCTTGGATTTTCAACACGCAACGCAATCCGTACCTCGACTTATAGATAAAATCTGTTCAACTACACGTTTTAAAGAGCTGCCAACAACAGAAGAAATTTCGCTACGATTTAGCACATGACGAACGAGCCGGTATGCGGACCTCAACTGGAGAGACGATATTATGATCCAGCTGTCGAATAAGACAGGAGAGATAGTTATTCAGAACAACCGAGACTAGTTGATGAGCGGACCAGGCAGCTTAATGTCAAATACTTTTACACCGAACTATAGGAATATCCCGCTAAGAGCTATACCAAACGGATGAAATAAACCCTAATATTTTTGCACGAAAAAAAACCAACAACAGTAATTAGACATCTACAAGTCAATGAAGCCCACCTACCCTAAACCTGGGCGTTTCTGTACACTACCAAAAATTCATATACAAGGAAACCCTGGACGACCAAGAGTGTCTGAAATGAGCCAAAGAAATACAGCCAAGGAAAGAATTTCAAGCATTATTAACTCCTTACAATAAACCTCCCAACCGAAGTCCCTTCCTATCCCAACGCAACTAATCACTTTCTTAACGAAATATCCGCACTTGTTACTCCGACTAATACATTCTTAGTCACGATGGACGTTGCGTCCCCATACACAAACATTCCGCACCAGGATAGCATAAATGCGGTATAAGTGCCTGCAGCAATAGCCCACCCAACACCTACACGAATGGCGACGTCCTTACGAAACGAATGATACTAATTTCGAAACCAAACAACTTTGAAATTGAACGGAAGCGCTTTCTGCAGGCAGATACCGGTTACAGCAACGGGCACAATCAATGTTTTATAAAGGTAGATTGAGAACATTGTTATAAACTAGTCGCTTCGTGAGGCAGACCTTTGAAACTTTCTTAGTAATTTCGACGATATTCACTATAATATAAAATTCTCGCGCTGCTACTCTGAAACTAGCATCGATTTATTCGATGTAACAATGGAAATTCTGAAGAGAACTCACCAACGAAACTCTACAGGAAGCCCACAGACCGCCAACAGTACCCTCACTTTAACTGTTAAACCCTTAAACATTGCAAAACCAGCATTCCGTACTCTCAATCCCACAGATTCAGGATATGTCCAAACTTGAATGAATTTGATAGCAAACCAAAGACGTAAAACAGTGGTCACCAAATAAAAATAGCCACCTACAGTAGTGGACATAGATGGATAAAGCACGAGGAATTTACAGACCACAAATCAATAATGAACCTCGTCCCAAGGCACCTAAAGATACACAAGTCAACCTTGTCGTCACCTTTTGGGCAGCCTTCCAAGTTTTAATAACATTCCAAGGAAACGTTTTCATATCTTACCACGGAGTGACATTCTTAGCACTTTGTTTCCTGTGCCATCACGTGTGCACTACCGGCGAGGACCCCCGTTCGATGCGTTCGTCACTATCAAATATGCGTTTCATGGATCTACTTTAACTGCATTTGTGAAGGCCGGGCCATCACGTGGAGCCTGGGGCGAAATGGTTGTCCGCACCACTACGCCGTCGTCGTTTTCAATTTTCTAACAAACCTCTCTCCGACGAAAACGACCGACCCAACCGGTTAATATGAGCACTTAATATACACTCATACACAGACGCGCGTAGAATAACAAGGGGCAGCTGCCGACGGCGGGGATGGGGACGAGAATGTAGAGTTCATTGAACTTGGGCCTCTATCCGCAGCGTCAGAAATGTCTGCGAGAGATACCCGGATGGCTACCCCGCACCTGCATCATACAGCTAGGATGATGCTGTGGGCAGCAGGAAGGGCAAGACAGGACAAGAAGATATAGAACAGACAAAGGGTTTATGAATCATCTCTCTTGTTTTTTCTGGCATGCAATAATCCCCTCAGCTGCACCTTGGTTATTCGGAAACCGTTATGTATTTTTACTGCTCACAAATTGCTTTGCCCTGGTTTGCTCAGTCAAACTTGCATGGCTGTGGAAAATAAATAAGCTTAGCTTAATAAGTCCGATTTGTCATTCATTTTTCTACAGGCCAAAAAAAACTAAAATAAAAAAAAAAGAAGCAGAACACACCAAATTTGCATTTTTATGGTGTTTATAGCCACAATCAACACATGCTATGCCAATCCGCGAAATGTTCACAAGACAAGATACAAGCACAGACATCTAAACCTATGGTGTGTCTAGTGTTGGGGGGGCGGGGGTGACTTTTTAAGTATTCATTTAGAATAAAATGAAGGATTTATGAAAGGAAACGTCTTTAATATTTACCAAGACGTTTCCTTCTCGAGCGCTCACGTCATCCTCAGTGTCAGATTGCAGCCCTTGGAATTGAAAGCCCGCATGTGACCTAATGGGATAACAGCATAGTTTGCATCCTAAGCTGCAGTAAATACCTAACAGCCAACACAACACGAAGCCTCAAGCATAGCTAAATAGTAGTATCGACAAAAATGGTAAATTTAAAAAATGAGACAAGCCCTTGCCCCTTTTTTCATGCTCCACAGCCACACACGTTAAACTGTTACAAGGTTGACCACACTCGAAAAGTAGGGTCCGAGTGTTAAACAGTCAAACGACAATTCCGTGAAAAATAAAAAAAAAGCTTAAACGAAAAAAAAATGTATGTAATTGAATCACCTTTAGTTTTGGTGAGGCGCTTTAGCGAGTTTATTTTATTGTGATTGATGCGCTACTTTTCTTAGTTGTGGGTGATATCATCTGTTATTTTCGTTTTGTTTTCTGCTTGGTAAGTATAAGAAAAAAACTTCGAGGGTTTCTAACGTGGTGCGTTCTTCATTTTCTGCTTTCTTTAGGAAGTGTGAGGTCTGGGTTGGTCCTCGGGTGCTCGCTCTTAACTTATGCGGCTGTGTTTACTCTTAAAGTTAGGGGTATGCTTGTTGCACCATGTCTGAAATAAATAGAAAATTTAATCCTCAGAAAAATATGACTGACAGTTGAATATTTCTATATTGCCCCGTCTCCTGTCATTTTTGAGCGTGCACACAATATCCCCGCAACACAGTATCATGTTTAGTGGAAATATGATATCACTATGATTACTAAAAATATATTATAAAATTACTGAGCCTCTTTATTACAGCTTGCCACGTAAGGTAAATAGTTTAATGTAACACGTATAAACGTGTTCCAAAAGAAAATATGTCATAATCATAATACATTTGTAATTACATAAAATTTTAATAAACCGCCCTGTGAAAAAAAAAAAGTTCAAACACAAGGAGCGTGCCAAATCACCACACTACGTTGAGCCGCCGCCGCTCTGAACTTAATATTTGAACAATATTTACGCTGATCCTGTAGAGACAAATATCGGGAAAATTGTAAGATTCCATTCCTTGTTATAGTTGTCCTGGCTTCTGAACATGATCTTCATAGTCATATATTGGTATACGACGGGGATGAACACATGAATGCAACAAAGGGCTGTGGTGGCCTGGAACCTCCATTCCAGGTAAGAACGCTATGCCTCACCCCTGCGTGAAATGAAAGGTCAACTTGTATAAGTGCTTTACAATGTGCGTTCAATGTCTTCGTGAATATCTGATAGTTGAGAGCCTATCTGAGAATCACAATGTTGTATAGAATTTTGTGTCTGAACATTTACTTTAACTTTTATTGAAGGTGTTTTAAATATGCAGTTCAGTAAGCCGCAATTTTGTGCTCAAAATCCGTTATAGCAGTGAATTACAGAAGATGTTTTGCCCTGTTGAAACCTTAATATACTGCATTAATTAACAACAAAGAAACTGAGATAAAAATGGTCACGTGTTTTGGGGACTGCGGTAAAATATGTTCTACTGTACAAGGTCAACTGTCCACAGCACAATGCAGCTGCTACGTCTTGTGAAAAATGCCTTGTTCATTATTTGAGTCTGGATGCCCGTGACAATCATTCACGGTGCAAAACTTTTCACAGCATGAATATTATCACTATATAATTAAAGAAATTCCTCGTATTAAAGGGGTACGGAAACATAAATTGAAATATTCAAATTTCGTTCGGAAATGAGTCAAGCATGACGGATAATAACCGTAAATCATAATCGCACGTTTGTATTTTGAACGATTGGCTATATTTTTCGTTCCAAGCGGTGCACTCGAGCAAGCGCTCGAAGAGAAGCGAGCGGAGAGCGCGATGCGTAATGGGATGTCCGGCGAAAACAAAAACAGAAAGAAAAGATTTCCCGCGTTCGTGGAGTAGCAAGGCAAGCGTGGTGATGAGCTTTGCCCTTGGTGGCGTTGTCAGCGTTGTGGTGGTGTCAATAGCGTCAGCGCGTTACAACCGAGCCGCTCGAAGCACCCGTGGGGTGACGAGCGTGTGGCTGGCCCGAGGAGCACGTAGCTTCCACAACACTGTCAGCTTAGGGCTGAACGGGGTGGGGAAAGCAACTTTTGTTCGAGTTTTGAGCGACGGGCTAATCTTCTAGGGGGAGAATGGCTGTTTCCGGTTGCACGAACGAGGCTCCGAGAAAGAAGGGAGTCCTTCCTTTCCGTCTTCTTGGACCGTTTGGTACAATGCGCGATTTGTGAGTTCAGGAGGAAAGCTAAGAAGGACAACGTTGAAATGACACAGAGCGGCGCTGCTCCGAAGGAATCTGCTACGTCACGACTACGTAGCAGCTTCCACAATGTTGCTAGACTACCTCCCAAATAGGCTCCGCATGCATGCACCAGGTGCACATTGAAAGATCGTTTATTTACTTTAAAATTAGTTTTCTTGCGCTTTTCAACGGAAGACTGGTGTTCTTGAGGTTAGGGTGCAACATGCAACACATTAAAGCTAGAAAATGAGCGCCGAAATTTCGTTTCCCTACTCCTTTAAAGTTATTTCGATTGCATAAAATATTTTGCCGGGTAAGGTAAACATCTAGACATCTAGATTAAAAGAAAATGTTGAACACATAACTGCTGGCTCAGTAATTGAGAGGCATGTGGAAAATATTTTGTTGTACTGTGACTAGCTACCTCGGTGGCTCCGAGGCAAATCGCCGGCCTACACATCACCAGGTGGCGGGTTCGAATCCCGGCATATTGCGGAGAAGGCTTTTTAACCGAGCACTTCTTTGCACGTCAAAACATCCCCAGGTGGTCATATTAATCCTCAGTCCTGCACTGGGGCGTGCCAGATGCCTTTCATTGTTCTGGCACGTAAAGCCTCGAAATTAGACTTTATTATACTGTAGTTATACTCGACGCAATATATCTATATATTGCGTCAATTAGCATAAAACCAAACAACCTGCAAATGTCGAATCAAATGGCTGACATCTAGTGTATTGGCACTTACTGATCTGAGGTAATCATAAGTGTGCTATGAAAACACTCAAACCAGTTTGAGGATGACGTTTTCCAAAAAGCAAAAAAAAGCAGAATTAGGCATGAGTGTTTGGACAGCGCAAGGTTCATATGCCATATACGAGTATATCGCAGCACGGGCTCACTCCGTAGTTAAAACATGCAGCCAGTGTACTACGTCTGCCACAGGGTCATGAACGTAAACCACGTAGTAGTGGTGTGCAACCGCATGTTGCTTTGAGTTTCGATAGTGAATTTATGCAATTTTTTCTTTCGTTTTTCATTAATATATTGATGTTTCGTTAAAATCTGTCATCATGTGTAGATTTGTTTTGGTAAAATTTGCGTTATTTATATTTGTAAAGGCTTTGTGTGAGATTCTTAGTCATTATACTTGGGCTTTCCAGCCCTTGCGCAAATTTATATGAAAAGCTTAATTTGTTCTGATAATTGTTACCGTGGATCTGGGATGGACCTAGAAAATAATGAGCAGTACAGCAATCCTTCGCGCAATATTGTTCCTAGCGGAGTTGGCTGATATCCGCTGAGTATTTTCGGCACTCTCCAAGTGTTCTTTGTCGAGGCATCGAGAGGACCTTTAGGACCTTAATGTCTTTCCTTCAGCTGAAGTTAGAGCGGCAGACTTCTTTATTGACTCGCGTATTTAATCGAGGTTCAGGATATCGTGCCGTCCTGCCTAGAAATCGCACTGCGGCCGCGTATTATTCCGTTTCATCGATTTTTTTTTATTTATTTTTAAAAATGCATTTGTTTTCGGGAGCAGCCACCGACCAGTTCAATGGTAATTCGCTTCCTGCATCTAAACTTAGATAATCATTGAGAGAACACGGCAGCGAATTTTGTGGCAGTGTCCCAGTAATTTTGTGTCATTGGAACGTTTTGATAGTGGGGATATACTAGTACTAATAATAATGGTCTTTAAAGACTCACAAGGGCCACGTCACCGCGGAAAGGGGACAACCCTTACGACTGAGGACCACGATGCCGCGTCTAGTGAGTGTGATTATGGGATGATATGATATACAAGATACTACATGAGGGAGTCGTTTATTAAGAGCCATTACTTCTGTCCTTTCATTTTTTCGCGGCAGCGCGTTTGCTGACGTGGTGCTCAAAGAATTGTAGGGGGGAAATTTTGAAGGAGTTAGAAGTATCGACCGTTTGAATTAGAAGTCGTCACCTTTTTACCACCGCCTATGTAGTTATAATTCAAAAATATAGTGTGCTCCCCCAAGCCAGTTCTGGGCAGCAACCAACCCAAACAGACGTTCTCACCTGGAGCGTTCTTATGTCCGCCGTTCTGCGTCACTTTTCTCTGCTATTACAAAAGTCTGCCTTTTAAGAAGGTTGGATTCTATTCATCGCATGTACCCGGGGTGTTGCAGTTAAACTGAGGCAATAAAGCTTACGAATCAATGATAACGCTTTCAAAAAATTATTTCTCAATTACCTACACATAAACCTCAAATTTTATATTTTCGCTTTACGGTGATATCAGTGTTATAATCTCGCGTTTTAAGAAGACATAAAAACTAATTATTATATCTTTTTACAGCTCGCACCGAATCCTGAGTGCATATTTTACTGCTTGAAAGAAATAAAAAATAATCAAAGTCAAGAGCGAGGTTGGTCTTACGACCATTACAAGGATGGAACACTTTGTGCGGTAGGAATGTTTATGTTATGAGTAATTAATATTACTGTGTTCATTTATAAAGCACAAGCTTACAATAATAAGTGAAATGTGTTATTTATATTTCAGTATCCTAATGAAAACGCAACTGATGGATTTGCCTATGGCGTATGCTCAAACTTTAGCTGCAACACAAGTGCACCCGTGAATGTTACATTGCTTAATGAAATTATGAAACGACCTTCGGCCCCCACAACAACTTTGCCAAAACCAAGCTCAACTACCAAAAGGATGCCAGACGATTTCGACGACACAACAACAATTTCACCAAAGTCAACTTCAACTACCGAAAATATTACGGAATATGTTGACCAAACAACAACAATTTCACCAAAATCAAGTCCGGCTTCCGAAACCATTACAGAACACGTGGATAACGCAACAACAGTTTCACCAAAACCAAGTTCGACCACCGAAAATATTACAGAGCATTTCGACCCCACATCAACTATTCAACCGAAACCAAGTTCAGGAAACTCCATTAATCAAATCTCTGAATTGTTTCGTGCTACTCTGGCTATGCTACCCCTACTAATAGCGTATTTTTCTCTCTAGTGTGTGTTATATTAGTAAGTATTGAGCTCCGAACATTCGCAACGGTAAAGCCTCGTTAATGCGAGTTGCAATTCAGATGTGTTTCATGCTTTTTAGACCTGAAAGTTGTCTTCGTTTTCATTTATAACGCAGGTACTAGAATTTAGCAATAGATGTAGTTTTGGCCACATATTAATTTTAAATGTTCATTTATATTTAGAAGTTTCGCGTTCTTGTACTCCAAAGAGATGAGGACACAGCGTTTTCGCCGTTCCTTCAAAACCAAGAAAATAATTTTCACTACATGATGTTTGTTACTTTCTAATTCAGTTGCTCGAATTACAATCATTAGTGAAACGCAGTAACTTTTGGTCAGATATGATACAGATAAATTTATTTATTACAGGACTTTAATATCGGATCTATTGAACCACATACAAATAACAAGATGTAAACTTTTAGGCGTCAAATACCTGCGTCTTTGATGGGCCTATAGCGTGCGCTAGAACATTCAACCTTATGTCATTCTTGCACAAACTGTATCAAGATGGAGGCTAATAATCATAGTTTTCTTCCAGCTCCACTAAATTGAAATTAGAAACTCTCAAAAATACTGTATTTCTTACTTATTTAATGTACACAGCTGTACATGTAACGTACATGTTCTAGCATTGTTATGACTCCCCGAACTTTGTTTGTTTTGTACCTGTCAAATACGTTTAAGTTGCAACGCAATTAACTGACATAATTCTAGTCAAAACATTTTCACACCATAACATAGTAATTATTCAGCTATCTACATAAGGAGCGTGTGCTACATGTTACTTACAGAATTTTCCTAATAAACCAATACAGTGCTCTGCTTTATAATTTCACACAGCTTTGTTTGTGAACAGTGTGTCGGTACAGAAGTCCTAGCTTGGCAAGCCAATGCTTTCTGAGAGCCGCCATGACTTGTTCTCTACGAAAAAGGTTATATGGAGGTTTTGTAGAAAACTTTTTGCTTAGTGACCGTTCAAAATACGTAAAAATAGAAACTGTTTAAATTTGTCGTTAAATAATGTAGAGAATGTGTTTCTATCTATTTCAACCTGAAATAAAATATACGTCACAAATAAACAAACCAAACAACACATATCTCTCTTTTCTTTTCGTCGAAGTTTTCGACTAAATGTTGAAATAACTAACATCAGAAACTCCTCACTGTTATGCTATATCACTGATGTTCAACACACTTGTTGTGTGTCAAGGAATAAATGAGATTCATATTAATGAAAGAGGAAATGAAATTGTATATTTAATATTGATAATTATGTATAAGAGTCGGAACCCATATTTCTTGCATATTTTCATAGAAACCACATTTATATTAGGTTGCTGAAATATATGGCACCAGTACTCCGGTATTGTCGCAAATGTTTTCAGAATCATAGAGCCGCAGCGCACAGCAACAACGTGTATTCCGGATCGGTGTCGTGCGTGCATGGAGAGCCACATATTAGGTGACACTCGTGTGGGTATCCAGTCAGCTAGAAGTTAATGACGGGAGCAGAGCAAGGCAAACTTTGAGCACGTGAAAGTTGCAGCTTTCTGCAAAGTTACTAAAACATAATCATAAAAGGAGGCCGGTTTCGGCTAGCTCTATCAATTATTGCTAGCGCGTTCGCCTAGAGATTTTTTGGTAGTTTAGTAATTTACGTTTGACGGCAAAGGAGTACGGAAGGAAAAGTTTAAAGCTAGTTGTTTTGCTTAGGTATATACCACGTCGCATCAGCACCTGATCAACACCAGTATCTCGCTTGTAAACGCAAGAAAAGTAATTTTAAAATTAATAAAACGATTTCCCATTTGCACCTGGTAACTGGGGGGCCGAAACTTTGTCAGGGGATCGTGACGTGTTCCTCCCGCAGTGGCGCCACCCTCGGCAATACACCGTACCCGTATAGATGCCCTAGCCGTGAATGGCACGTTGCAAACGCGCTGCTTCGCGCGGCGCGCTGCAGTTCTAGTGCCGCTGAGTGGTTCCTATGTTGATTCATTACGTTTGCATGCAGGATGCCGCGCTATTGCGCGGCAGATTGCTGCAGGAGCAGCATGCTGAACTGCAAGACCAGGGGCAGACGCAGGTATTTCCAGAGGGGGGGGGGGGGGGGGGTGTCTGCGTCTCATATGTCTGAAAAACCCCTTCCCCCCTACTCCGCGATTTTTCTCCCTAAATGTTTACACAACCCGGACCCGACCACCCTCCCACCGCCACCTCTGAATCCGCCACTCTGCGAGACACCGAACAGCAGGTTTCTAAACGAGGAGAAATTCTGAAGCGTGTGGAAACGTCTCGCGCGTCCGTCGTCTCTTGGGCGCCGGTGAAAACCAATCGTCTGTACGGCGACCATTTTCGCCATAAAGACTATGAAAGGTGGCCCACTGCCCTCAGGAGTCTGGGTCTTCCTACCAATAATATTCGGCTGCTACCAAGGGTAGTGCCGACTCTTTTTTTTTTTTTTTTCAAGAAAAGAAAAGCAGAAGAGCTCTCCGGACCGCACGAAAAGCAAAGCAAACTCGTACGTGAGCTAAACAAAACACCTAATACAAGTGTTCCAAAATTCGACTCTGGCGCATCGGAGCGCAAGGAGAGACGGAAAAAACAAAGGGCAGCGTAGAGAGAACGCAGGGAACGCGCGGTGACGAAGCAGTCAAGCGCACGCCGTCATTGATTGATGCCGGGAGGGTGGGGGGGGGGGAACAAACGCACATCGGTGCATTTTGAGGCTAAACAAACGCACGAGGTGTGCAAAGAGCAGACCAACTTGCAGGCCGTACAGCGCATACCTTCAAGTTGGCTGATCAGTATTAAATGCGAGGCATTTCTTTGCGACCCCGACCCACTTCAGATTTCGTCGGGGGGACGGTCGGTTTGTCGGATGGTTCGTACGGTTCTAGTCCGAATCGCATCTCTGCCTTCATGTACGAGAGGGACTACTCGTCCTCGCTGCCACCCTCCGAGTCCCTTTGGTAGTCCAAGTTCTCGTCTTCTCAAGTTCATAGATCATGGCGGAGCGCACCGCGGGCCACAAGGTCCGAAATGAATAAGTCACGACGGACGTCCTGCAGCTGTGCAGCTTTCCGATTTTCTGACACGCGAGATTGTTCCACGCAAAAGCCACTGCCGTGTTGGTGCTCATAATCACGCCAGCCTTTGGCAGTGCTGAGGAACCTGACGTTACGGTTCCGAGACATTTCCCATGACGCATCGCGCACCTCGATTGCCTATTCCAAAGCGCTCGCTAGAACCGGACGATTGAAACAAAAAATATAGCCATCCGCTCAAAATAGGAACGAGCGATTGTGATATACGAATATCATAGGTCGTATTTCATTCATTTTGTGAGGTTTCCGTATATTCTGATTTTTTTTATTGTTCCTCTTTATACCTGTAGCTCTTCTTTAAACTTATCCAAATTACATTTTCAACTTTATAAAACCTAGTATTGTCCCTAAACCATTTCAGTTGGCACGCGATGTAAAGATGTAGTTATGAAGAGCAATATTTTAACAAAAAATACACCAAGACAGCCAAGTATAATTTCTCAACCGCGTAGGTTAAATAGAAATGTCTACACCAACAAGTTTAACATTCCATGGTCTCGTACTATGTACGGTCAAAGAATAAAGAGTGCACTGAAACCATTTTATGAAATTCTTTAAGCATCCAAATAAAAGAGAGCAGAAGTTTTGAAAGTACAATTAAACCGTCTTATATGGAAACAATATTCGAATAAAGAACACTGTTATATTGCCGCCCGCAGGGCCGAGAAAGCAACGCTCGGTCACCGACTTCTAGAAGATTCGCGTTCAGTCTCGCACCAGACGTAACTTTCCACCTGCTTTCTTGTTCTCGAAAGTGCCAGTTCATCCTCGCCCCGAGCGCGCGACGCTCGAGCCTTCTTTGCCGAACTTTTGAGATAGTGACGCACTGTAGATAAGCATGCAGCTACCCTCGAGCTGGTCGAGTCAGTCTCGCTCTCGCCCCCGTTACGCCGCCGAATCGCCGCCTGCTTTTCTGCTGCCTCGACGCTCTTTCGTTACTTGTTTTGTTTGGCACATGTTCGTCAATTAAATTTTTATTTTCAGTTCACTGTTCGTCTTCTCGTCACCTTCATTCGTGACAATAGGACATATGCATGTGTGTAAGGTAACCGCTGCGATTTTGTTTTTTACATTCTGAATGAATTCGAGACAAGACAAGAATGACCCCGATCCAGATGCGTTGGTGCAGTGTGTTCTGTTTTTTATTTATTTTATTTGAATAAAACTGGCTGATTGATTAAGACAATTTTCCGTATAAAGAAATGACGGGATCTCCAAGAGGTGAGGAAGACCAGAAAAATGTGATATATATGTAGGAGCAATGAGCATGACGTTTTAGTTTCTTCCTGTCATGGCGGACATGAAATTTCCCAGATCTAATTGTATTTTGAGCTTTGTACTTTGTCGCGACCCTGCTATTGTTCTTGGTGCTGCGCTACCTGACGGGGGCCCTGGAATCATCAAAAATCAAATTGCATCGGCTAGGAGTTGACGGAGCACGCTGATCGGATTCTCGCGATGATGACAATGGGCTTTGGTTTTCTAAATCCAACATGTGCACTCCGTGATCTTTCAACAGCGACTTTGTGCTTGACGAGTCTACAGCCCCAGTTATACAGAAATACGAATGCGCAGGTTTCTTTTATAGTGTGCCCAAGGGGAATATTATGCGGTGAGTATAGGTAAAGATACACTAATGACAACTCTTGCAGTTGTACTGTTTCATTTCAAGGGTCTTTAGTGTTCGTTTTTCGTGAACGATGTTGCTTTAAGCGGATCTACCGGGAACGGCTCATGATGGTGGGTCTACGTCACAAAGTAATACAAATCTAGTGAAATAGCCGTGGCGTCCTGCTCACACCATTCTGGCATGTAGAATATTGAATACCTTCAGATGCCTATTCTAGGTCTCCATCATTCAGTGCCTTTCTCGCGGGTCACTTAGTTGCTTGCAAATGGTACAGAAGTCATTATCTTTTTTGGATCAATTTTCTCGCAGATGAAGGGTCCGGTCTAACGATGTTGCGTGCATATTCGTCGTTAAAGCGAGTACGGTCTAAAGCAGATGGTACATAAATTATGAGTTCGTTTGGCCGTCCCGCAATGAGTTTGTTTGGGAATGCATCGTTTATGGCACAAAAGGCAGAGCAGACGAAACTTTGCGGAGTTAGGTTCGCATATTCATTCCTTGTCATGAACCGCAGCGGTAAGTAACATCTATGCAACGCTTTGCTTCTCGTGGGTAAACTAAAATTCTGCTGGAAGGCTTGAGACCCGGCATAAAGGCAGACGAGCGAAGGTCGCTTAACCATTTTAAGATACAGAAAGACAACTTAAGTTTTCATTGTAGAAACTTAGAGTTGCACGAACTCTGGCTTCCTTCAGTAGATTAGTAACATTCGATAACCAACGGCACCATTGAAATGGAACCATATAATAGACACTGCGGGCAAGGCCTAAAATTGCAGTGAGGCGCGAAACAGCAATGTCGGTATACGAGCATGTTAACTCAATATGCAGCTATTAAGTTTGTACAGCGAAAGACGTAGCCTACAACGCCCTACTCATTTTCCCGATGAAGGTAGCAATTTTTTTTAACTCTTGAGTCATATTTCCAGGTTGCGCACAAGAGAAACGCTTAACTTAGGCAGAAGTGTGGTGAACCTATGGGTCTGGCTTGGACCCAGCTAGGTTTTGCAACATGGCGCCTGTCAGTGCCAAAGTACGTTGCTTAAATAGAGGCCCAGGTGGGCTATCCTAGGGCATGCCAAAGTTCGGCTTTTCTCTGGTCCGCCGCAGGAGTGCTAAAGTAAGTCTCATATACTTGAGCCATAACTGCTAAAGTAAGTCCTACTTTGAGGCTTCCGTATGTGCCACAGTTTGGCTTTTCTCTCGTCCTCCACAGGAGTGCCAAAGTAAGAGCCAGACTTGAGCCATAACTTCGAAAGAAATTTCAAATTTGGGGATTCGGGGCGTGCCAAAATCTGGCGTTACTCTGGCTAGCCAGTGGAGTGCGCAATACCTGCCAAAAGTGCCAAAGGAAGCA